CCCCCCCCGCCCCCGCCACATTCCAGGTGCTGGGACTTTTATGCCCCAAGGAGCTCTGGCGTGTTTGTCCTCTTTGCCACATGCGGTGAACACCTCTGTACCCTTCCAAGCCCTCTCACAGCCCCGCTGCTTTGGGTGCCAGCTCTCCCACAGAAGTTCCCTCAAGCAGGCCTTACCCTCCTCTGCTGCCCGCTGCCCTTGTGCCAGTCCTGACCTGCTCTGCCCCCACTCAGATTACTGCTGCCCCTGCTTCTCATTCCCTCGGAAGACTGTGCCCTTTTGGAGACAGGGTCTTGCTCAGTTGCCCTGACTGGCCTTGAACTTGAGATCCTCCTGCCTCAGCCTCCTGAGTAGCAGAGATTACACGCATGTGTCTTAAGGGCCAGGACCTCCAGGTCCTCAGAGAGGGTGTCAGCCCACAGAGGTGTTGGTGGGCTGGCCACTGCTCACCTAAGCACACCCAAGCTATCCAGAGTACGACCCAGAGCCCTGAAGGTGCTTTCCCCTGCCCACCCCTTCCTGCCAGCACAAAAAGGGGGACAGGCCTGGCCCTAGGCAGCGGGACTTGGCCAGGGCTCTTGGCTGGCATGCAAGGGAGCCGTGTGCCATGGCTGCCTGCCTGCCCGCCGTGCCAAGGGGGTGGAAGTGGTGGCCTTCAGTCTCCTGCAGGCAGCAGGCAGCAAGACTGGGGGGAGGCAGGGATGTCTGGGCACAGGGCAGCCCGGAATGTGCCAGCTGGGAGGTCAGGGCCTGGGATGCCTGGCACAGAAGCCACCCCTCGCCTTCCAAGCCCAGCTTCCTGGACAGCGGCATGGGCATCCTGTGGGCCTGTGAGGAGCGGGCCGGCCCGGATGCTGGGCACTGGAGGTGGCAGGTGGGGCTCTGGGGGCTCTCAAAGCCCCTAAGGGGCAGAAGTGCCCCCCACTGTTCTGCCCGTGGAGCAGAGCCCACAGAAGCCACAACCAGGGAGATGTGCCAGGGTGGACCACAGTGAACCTGCTGCTTGAAAGAAATAGTTGTTTTACTTCCCTGCCCGGAGCCTCAGTTTCCCCATGTCCAAGAGGGAGGCAAGATCAGATCTGGGAGATAAAAGACTCTGGGCCCAAACCCACCCAGAGACTCACATGTGCAGGGCCCTGTGATTGTCAGGGACTGGGACTCAGCGAGCCTTTCTACCTGTCTACCTAACTACCTGTCTACCTGCCTATCTTTCTTTTTTCTCCCCTGCTCCCTGCCTTGAGACAGGGTCTCATGTCATCCAGGCTGGCCTTGAACTCACTGTGAATCCAGGTTGGCCTCAAACTCACAGCAATCCTCCTGTCTCAGCCTCCCTAGTGCTGGGATGACAGCCCTGTGCTACCAAACCCGGCTTTGAGCCACTATTTCATATGCAGCATCCCATCAGTCCTGGGGTCACCCTCCAAGGAGGTAACGATTACTGTCCCACATTTCAGGCCAGAACCCGAGGCTCGTGGGGTTACATTGCTCACCCAGGAGCCCTCAGCAGATGAGGAACAGACTCTGGCCCTGTTTAAATCTCTGGCTGCTGAATCCAAGTGGCCAGGAGCAACTTTGGCCCCCACCCTGCTCTCAGCTGTCCCATGGGCTCTTCCACTGGGCCAGGCAAGGGGCCTAAGGGTGTCAGGGACCTGAAGATCTGGCCACCTAGAATGGTCCCCACCCTATCACGCCACCATGCCCTGTCTGCCTGTCGTCGGTCACCTCTTGCCTTGGGAAGCATGTGAGGTCTGGGGACAGCCGTGCCATCTTTGGGCAGCTGCTGTTGTCTGTATGGAGTGCTTTCCTACGAACAGTGAAACCTGCCTCGCTGACTTTTGTCCATGGGTCCTGCTCCCCCTCCCGGCCAGCACTGCCATAGCGCCCTGCATAGGATGAGATCCCAAACTTCCCTATTCTCGGGCCTGTTCCCTTTCCTGGTACCCCTCTCCCTGGTCTCAGTGCCAACAGCCATTGCTGCAGGGTACCAGGCGCCCCTGGAACACAATGTTCCCCAGCAACAGGGCAGCTCAACTGTGCCAGTCAAGTTCCTGGCTCAGCTGCAGGCCTCAGGTCCCAGGAGGGTGGAGAATGGGAAGGGACAATGTGCCACTGGGGGTGGCTGGCAGATGTCAAGGGATATGGCTAGAGGGCAGGATGGGGCATCTCTGCCAAACGGCTTGCTGCCTGTCCACTCCAGAGACATCTGGCTTGGCCCCTTGGGCCTAACTGTACCTCTGCCAGGCCAGCTCTTCCCCACCTGTGACCCCCACCATCCCCTGATCCCACCAGCTGTCTTGCTGAGGAACCCATCCCATGCCTTAGCATGGGAGAAGTTACCAGTGCCCTGGCCCACTGGCCCAGCAAGATCCCATTCCCTTCCGAGGCTCTGAGGCTTGTGCCCCAGGTCTATTCCCCCTCAGAAGCCCTGTCCATTTCCTCCCCACCCACCGCCCCCTGGGTACCCCTCCTTTTTCAGTGTCCCAGAAGGCAGCTGGCAATAAGTGGTGGTGGACATGGCACAAGCTGACTCAGATGGCAGAGCTGGCACAGCAGGGTCTTCCCAGGAAAGGCACTGAGGTGGGTAAGGTGCAGCCCCGGTTGGTGGGGGGGGTGCTGGGGAGGAGTGGGACCCCCTAGGAGAACTGATGAGTGGGTTTGGGTGCAGAACTGAGCCCCAGCCTTTAGGACAGCAGGAGGCTGGACTTAGGCAGACAAGCCATACCCAGCGGGGCACCAAGGGGATGGAGAAGTCTGGAATGTTGGCCTCACTGGCTGGTGGGCACCAGGCCCCCACTGGACCTTCCTCCCACCCCCATCTCCCCACCCCTAGACTCTGGAGGCCCAAGCTTCTTTGGGGCAGCAGGTGGTGACATTGGAGGGTCCTTGGGCTGGGAAGAGGCAGGTGTGGCTCTGCCAGGTCTGACCCCCCCGCCACGGCTGAGCCAGCAGCCCCTGAGTGCCGAGGTGGCACTGCCCAGAACTCCTGCCTGCACCGTGGGCAGCTCCTGGGGAAGGGGTGCCAGAGCACAGAGGCCTCTGTGTGGGAGCCTGGCGGGGCGAGCCCCAAGGAAACAGCAGGGGACTGTGTGTCTGCCCAGGGCGAGCAGGGAGCAGCTGAGAAGGCTGCAGGGCACTGACCTCAGGGACCAGACCCTGCCCGCTGGAGCTGTGGCAAGTGCCCCAGCAGTTTTCCTCCCTCCCACCCCGGCATCTACCCCAGGAGAGGAGCTTGGCAAGGCCAGCGACTCAGCTCCATGGACCGAGGCCAGAGCCCCATTTTCAGGAGGCCAGAGCTGGTCCTATGAGCATGGATTCTGGCCAGGTCCCCCAGTTCAGGGACGAAGGGGAGCTACCTGGGGTGTTTCAGCCAGACCCCACCAGAGCCCCAGCCAGCCCCCATCACTCCGCTGTGTCCTTGACCTTGAATTAACCTCTTATGGGGAGGGTGGGAGGGAGGGATGCAGGGAAAGGGAAGCCCAAGACCTAGTGCTGGGTGAACCTCAAGGCTCCTCTTTCTTTCTTTTTTTTGGTACGGGGGATCGAACTCGGGACCTTGTGCTTGCGAGGCAGGCGGCGGAACCACTGAGCTAAATCCCCGGCCCTCTTTTTTAATTTTAGGGCTCCTCTTGTTTGGGTAACACCAAAGGACGTCTTGGTCTGAAGTCTGGGGACAGTCAGGGCGTAGCCCCTTCTTTCCTGAGTGGCTTTGGCAGAACTTCTAGAGCACCCAGAACTCTAGAGGTGGCATTTGAAGGGGGACCGAGGCTCCCCCAGCCCCTTCCAGCTGGGAGTCTGGGCCCTGCCAGCCTTCGCCGAGGAATAATTTATTCACTGTGACTCCCACAGGAGCAGCTATCATACATAATTAGGGTTAATTATGACATTCATTAATTACGGCTTCTCCTTTGCTCTGCCCCATCCCGCTCCCGGGTCCGGGTGGCGCCGCCTCTGGCTGCTCCGGAGCCGCAGACACTCGGGTCCCCGCCGGCGACCGACGACCCGCGCTGCCGCAGCCCGTCAGGCGCGGACGCCGAAGCTACGCACCCGGATCCCGAGCCCGAGCTCGCCGGGCTGGAGGTTCGGAGGTGCGAGACAGCTAGGGGTGGCGGAGGCCCAGGCACCCAGAGATAAACACGCGCGAGGAGCCGGGACAAGCCAGACAGGTGCGGCGACATTGAGCCGTGCGCCCCGCACGCACACGCGCCAGCTCCACACCGCGGCGCCGCCACAACCTCGCTGGAGCGGCGCGCGTGGGGAGGCGGCCGGGGTCACCGGGGGCCCCTCGTCACCATCTCCCCCCCCCACCATCTCCCCCACCCCGGCTGGCAGCGCAGCCCTGGAGCTTCCTGGCGCCCCGTCAGCTCGCATGACCCCCGAGACCTCCGCGTGGCCGGGGCGCCCGGGCATTCAGGCCTTGGGCTCCCCAGTTACCTTGGTTTCCTGGGGCGCGGACCCAGTCCCCGGGGGGCTGCGGGCGGCCGCGTCCTCGGGCTTGTTCTCCTCGCTCATCTCGGTCATGGTCGAGGACAGGGTCGGGCCCCGACGGCAGGGGTCTCAGGAACCCCGCCACCCCCTCGGGGATCTTCCCCCAGGACCCCCAGGGGGACCCCGCCCGGGCACAGCAGCCCTCACCCCGGGGCGCGAGCGGGAAAAGTTGCGGGGACCTGGGGCGCAGGGACCGAGGGTCCGCAGAGGATGCAGGCGGTGCGGGATGGGGGATGCGGAGAGGCGGGCGCGAGCGAGCCGGGCGGCGGCCGAGCTGTCCGAGCCGGCCTGCCGCGTCCTCTGCGCCCGCCCATCGCGCCCCTCCCGGCCCGGCCCGACCGGGCCCGCGGGCGGCCCCTCCGCCCAGTCCCCGCTGCCCAACTTTGATTTAGGAGGTCGCCTGGCCCCGCCCCGCGCCCCCCCCCCCCGCGTCGCCATGCAAATCAGCTTTTTTGCTATTGGCTGCCGCGGTGACCAGGAGGGCGAGGGGCGGAGCCCTGGGGGGCTCGGCCGTAGGGGGCGGGACCTGCAGGGGGAAGGTGGTTTTACAAGGAAAACCGGGGATGATTGAAGGAGGACGGGGACCATCGTCGTGGAGTCTGGGCTGAGGTTGTAGAAAATGCGTTGAGTTTGGACCTGCACCAGGATACCTGAGAGGGAAAAGAAGTTGGGACTTCCTGATGCTGCAGATTAGGGATACGGCACCTTGACGAGGAAGGATGGGGGCCCGTGCTACCCCTCAACGGCATGCCAGGAGTCTCTCCAAACACAGACACCCTAAGGGCCGGGGATTCAGCTCAGTGGTTCCCCCGCCTGCCTCGCAAGCGCAAGGTCTCGAGTTCGATCCCCGGTACCAAAAACAAAACAACAAAAAGCAAACAAATACATACAGCCTGGGCCATGGAGCAGGGCAAGAGACAACTCAAGGGACCAAAAGCCAGGGCAGACCAGCCTTCCGGAGGATGGCAAGCAGGACCGTAATCCTTTCCGGGCTCGGCGTCGAGGCTTCGGCAGCGAAGGGGCCCCGCTTTCATACTTAAGTCTCCAGCCAGCCTCTCCAGCACCCCAGGTCATAAGTGGAGTCTGTCAGGGACAGGATTCCTGGGGGAGGAAGTTCTCATGCTCCTCCCTGGCCTGAAGCTTCCCTCCAAGGCCTGGCGATTCCCTGGCGCCCTTCCTCCAGCTCCAGGCCCCTTCTCTGCCCAGCTTCAGCTCTTAGCCTGTCCAAGGGAAGGGACCTGGGGGACACAGGGTGGTGGTGAGAGACCCCTTCCCTGGGTGTGGGTGGGAGGTGAGCTGGGGGTGTCCACAGGCTCCTGCCTTTCCAGGAGCCCCAGCCACCCCAGGATCTCTGTCCTCTCCAGGATGAGCTCAAGCCTGGAAGCCCTGCCCAGGTTTCTGTGCCCAGGAGGAGAGATTTATTTGTCCACGGTGGAAATAGGGTCCCCTCCCCACCCCTGACTCCCAGCTTCCCTGGGAGAGGTGGCTCTCAGCCCTCCAGCCCACCGAAGGCCCTCACCCCAGCCTTCCTGGAAGCCCATCTCCTAGCCCTGCCTGGCCTCCCTCTCCCTGAGCAGCTCCAGCGCTGGGGTGCTAGGAGCATCCTGGGATGGGGCGGGAGACCCTCCCTCTGTCTCTGGCTGGGACCTCAGGACCTTCTCCTATGTTGGAGAGTTTCTTGGAAGGGACGCCCCTTACATACAGTTGGGGCTCCCAGTCCTTAGATTCCCCTCCCATTTACTCTGCAGGCTGGGGCAGCTGTGGACTGGAGCCTTGATTTCCTCTCCTGCAAGGTGGGGACCGTGCCACCTCCGCCATTCTGACCTCGCTGCAGGAGAATGGGAGGTGGCAGGCTCAGCCCAGGCAGGCAGGCAGGTGAGGCAAGCCCCATTCCCTCCTCCTCTCTTTTGGGAGACTTATGCCTTCCCACCACGTTCCTTGAAGCAGAAAGAGAAAAACATCTTCCCTGCTTGGCCATTTGGGGCCTGCTGGTCCTCAGGGGACTGAGGAGAAGCATCTTTTACTCATCCCAGCAAGAATTCCCAGGGGAACCTGTGGTACCAAAGAAAGCCAGGAAGGCAGTGGGCCTTGGGGACATTGGGCCCATCTGGCAGTGGGCCCGAGGCCTGTGACCTCTGGGTGTCCTTGCTGGCTGCAGCTTGTGTGTGTCAGCTCAGGCCCCAGAATGCGTCTGAGTCATTGTCTCTGAGTGGAGGACGCCCACTCCAGCAGCTCTGAGGCTGGGCAGGAGCAGCCAGGCAGCTTCCCCAAGGGAAGTGGCGGTCATGCTGGAGAAGGGCTCCCACCCTCGAAGTGGCAGAGCCAGGGCCGTGACAGTGGGTCCCAATCTCTAGGGAGCAGGACAGAGAGGTGGTACGAGGTGAGGGCAGTCGGAGACCCTGGTCCTCGTCCAGCCTCTGTCCTTTCCTTCCTGTTCAGAGACCTGGAGGGAGGGGTCTGCTCCCCATCCCCAATACTGAGATTATAGGCATCTGCCACCTTGCCCTGCCTGGTTTCTTTCTTTTTAGATTGGTAGAGCTGGATTAGGAATGAAGAGTTGGTGAAAATTCTGTAGTGGCAATGATGGTTTACCTCAGGGTTCTCGGGAGGATGAAACAAGTACACATGGAAAGAGCCAGACAGGGTGAGAAAAAATAAGTGGATATTGTTCTTGTAGGTGTGTGTGTGTGTGTGTGTGTGCCACTGGGAAATTGAACGTCGGGTGTTCTACCACTGAGCTACACTCCCAGGCTTTTTTATTTTATTTATTTTTTGGTACCGGGGATCAAACTCGGGTCCTTGTGCTTTTCGAGGCAGGCAGCAGAACCACTGTGCTAAATCCCCGGCCCGTTTTTATTTTATTTTGAGGCAGGGTCTCACTAACTTGCCCAGGCAGGGCTCAAACTTTCAATCCTCCTGCCTCACCCTCCTAAGTAACTGGAATTACAGGTGTGCAACCACCTCACCCCGTACATTCTTCTTTTTTCGGTACTGGGGATCAAACTCTGGTCCTTGCACTTGCGAGGCAGGCAGTGGAACCACTGAGCTAAATCCCAGCCCATCACCCCACCAGTACATTCTTTTTTTTTGGTACCAGGGATCGAACTGTGGACCTTGCACTTTCAAGGCAGGCGTCGGAACCACTGAGCTGAATCCCTGGCCTGACCCCGTACATTCCTACATTCGTACCTTCTTAGGGATTGTTAACCTAGTACTTCGTGGCTGAACATCAGGGAGTTCATGAACCTCTTGAAGCTGGGGGAGGTTTTGGAGGAAAAACAGAAGGTGGTGCCCACTACTGTGATCCAAGCTCTCAACTTAGTGACTGAGCAAGGCTCTGGCTCAAAAAAAAAAAAAAAAAAAAGGCTGGGGATTTAGCTCAGTTGTTCCAATGCCTGCCTCGAAAAGTGCAAGGTCCCAAGTTCAATCCCTGGTACGAAAAAAAAAGACAAGCAAAACAAAACAGCTGGGGATATAGCTCAGTGCAAAGGCCCTGGGTTCAAGACTTAGTATTAAAAAAAAAAGATTTTGGGGCCAGGGATTTAGCTCAGTGGTTCTGCCACCTGCCTTGCAAGTGCAAGTTCCCAACTTTGATTCCCGGTACCAAAAAAGAAAAGATTTTGGAGATAAACATTTTCTGGGTAGGGAGCAGCAAGCAGTTTTCCTGCCCCTTGGATGGAGAGCCTTCATCAGTCCTTACAGCATCTGAGATTCACAAAGGCTGCAGAGCCCTGGGTTGGCAACCCAGGGCTGGCCCTCAGGGTGAGTGTTCGAATCTCTTTCCTGCCATCCTTTCTCCCAGATGCCTCCCACATCCTCAGTGCTGTGGCCTCTGCCCCTGCAGGGGTCAAAACAAAGACAGCTTGGTGGGTGTGGGCTCCCCTCTCGACCAGCTGGGTCCGCACCCCTGGTGCATGGCCATGCTCAGTGGGGCTCTCCGCACCTGGTAGGCCTGGCCTTGCTCCTGTACCCCCATCTTCCCGTCCCCTGGGGCCCCAGAGGCAGACTGTGCTTTGAGGAGCTCAACCTGAGGGAGGCAGCGGTCATTATGATTTTACGGAAATTCAGCAGGCTCTTACACAAGCGCCTGACACACTTCCCGGCCGTGCATCTGGGACAGCCAGGTCCCCAGGGGTTGGAGGAGCCCCCTCTCCCATGCTGCTGCCACCAGCCCTTGGCACTTGGGACACTGGTGTAGAGCCACCCTCCTGCTGCCTATGGCACTGTCCCTAACCTGCCCTGGGTGAGCTGTTCCTTGCCTCTATGCCCCAGGCTTCCTGGAGGGGAACATCATGAACCCTGGCATGTGCCCCCCCCCCCGCTGCCCCCATGCCCACTGTAAAGCCAGTGCTCGCTGGGAGGGCTGTCCCCATGACGGGGACATTTCCTCCTCCTCAAATCGAGAGCCCCTTTCTCCAGGACTTCCCCTTGCTCTGCTGCTTTTCTCCTTGAGGCTTGGGACACAGGGGACACAGACTGACATCTGTCATGGCCCCGGTGTCCTCCCCTCGACCCCAACCTGTCCTGACCTCTGCTTCTCTACCTGATCCATGCCTCCTCCCCACTCACAAAGCATCTGTTGCCATGGTGGGCAGGGGCTAGAATTTTGAGGAGATGAGCACTGAGCCCCCAAGTCTCCCGTGAGGGTCTTGTTCAGGAAGGGGGCAGAAGCAGAGAGTAGGGCCTGGGCAGCGGGGAAGGAAGAGGTGAGCGCTCAGACTCAAGGTGAGGGAGAGCCCTTGGCTTTCGGAGGGAAGGTTGGTGGAGGGCATGGGCTCCTCCTTGGGTGCTCTAGGCTACTGCGGTCTAGGCCTAGCCACAGTGGACAGTGAGTTCAGGGACCATGCAGGAAGCAGGGCTGGGCCGGGCCTTTGAGAAGTTGCTTCTGGGCAACCTGGCACCTAGTGCCTGCATTCAAGGCCCTCTGGTAAATCCCAATCCAGAAGGCACAGGAATCCAGGCAGAGTGTTGCACGCCTGTAATCCCAGCTACTAAGAGGCTGAGACAGAAGGATTGCTTTAAATTCTAGGCCAGTCCGGGATACACAGTGAGTTCAAGGTCAGCCTGGACTGCATAGTGAGTCCCTGTCTCAAAAAAAAAAAGGGGGGGGCCAGGGATTTAGCTCAGTGGTTCTGCTGCTGCCTGCCTTGAAAGTGCAAGGACCCGAGTTCAATCCCCGGTACCAAAAAAAAAAAAAAAAAAAAAGAGGCACAGGAAGCCAGAGGCCTCTGAGCTGACCTCGGGTGCACCTCACAGCAGGCAGAA